AGATAGCCCAAATGTTCTATAGGTGGATGTGTGGCTATGTGTAACTGAGCTGCCCCTCCTGGGCTGCATGGATGGACTAAATTTAACTCAAATTTTGCAGGAATGTCATAAATTTAACTTTAAAGAAAAGATTTTCTAGAATATAAGAGATTGTTTCCTTGATACAGGACAAAATCCTGAGGTCAGAGTAATAAAAAATACTGAAACATGAGAGTAGGCTTGCATAAAATCCAAGATGGAAAATGTCATTAAAAAGCCAACTTGTTCTTCCAGGCTGGCCCCGTGGGCTGTGACTTGTCTACACATCCTGTGGATAAGAGCTCTTGTTCTTTTCCATTGGTGCAGTGGGGAACTGCCAACATTGAGCTTAATAATTTGACTTCTAACCTTTTGAGACACAGCCTGTTTTGAGAATCTGATGATAATTAGAGCCTTTGTTTTAGCAAAAGATTTACCTAGGTGCACCCACAATTTTATATGTCGTATCAAGGACTTTGCTCTTCTATAACCCATCATGATAATCACCCTGCACCACGTAGTACCAGGATAACGTCTCATCAGGATAATCAGAGAAATTTAGGAGAATTTATTAACAAAGTGTATTATATTCCAGTGACTAATTTAGCAAATTACCACAAACTTGGTGGCTCAACACAAGAGAGACTTATTCTCATACTTCTAGAGGTCAGAAGTCCAAAATTAACATCCCTGGACTTCAATCAATGTGTCAGCAGGGCTCATCTTCCTCTGGGATCTCCGGGGGAGAATCTGTTCCTTGCCTTTTCCACCTGCTGGCATTCCTTAACTTGCAGCTGTATTGCTCCTATCTCTGCCTCCATGGTCACGCTGCCTCCTCTTGTTTTGTCTGTTCAAAGGACATTTGTGATTGCATTTAGGGCCCACCTGGATAATCCAGGACAGTCTTCCCATCTCACGACCCTTAACTTATTCACATCTGCAGACACTTTTTCCTTATAAGGTAACATTTGCAGGTTCCAGTAATATCTTTGGGCAGCCATTATTCAGTCTACTACACCGAGGAACTATTTACAAAATTGGCGAGGTCTAGGAGGAGAACCATGTGGCATAGTGAAGACACCATTGGTCAGGAGTAGAGGCTCTGCTTCAACCCTTGGGCCTAAAGGGACAAGTGGAGTTGTGGTTACGGGATCTGGAGGGAGAGGGTCATGAAGAGAAGGCTCCTTGAGAGAAACGGAGTGCCCTTTTTTTCAAGGAATGCCACCAGCTTGAGGAAAATTTGAGGGGAAGGAGTCAGGGGAGTAAGTACCCTCACCCCACTCTCTTCTTTCTCTCCAATCTGGTTTCCTATCAGCTGAACCCAAGCAGAAACCAGTGAGCACAAATACCCTTAACTGAGTCCACGCAGGGTAAACTCTCACAGAAGACAGCGGGGGAGAGAAGCGTGGAAAGTGGGTCTGGAGGGGCAAATGGAAGATACTCAGCACTCAGTAATTGCCTCACGGTGGGGCATCATTCATGAAAAATCTTCAGGCAATTTCGTTCCTTGTAAAAGTGTGAACTTTGAGCATCTTAGCACTTGAAGAGCCATTTCTCTCTCTAGGTAGCCCCTTGAAGTACTTGCCACTGCTGCTAAGACAACCTGGAATTCTGTGAGGGCAGAGATTTTGCCTATTTTGTTTACTGATGTATCCCCAGCTCTAGAAAGCTCCTGGGACACAGTATATTGTCTGTAAATACTTGTTGAGTAAATGGAGCTGAAACATAGTCTACAAATACCTGATGGTCACCCTCCACATCACTTCATACTCCCTACCAGCTATTTATTTCTCCTCCTGTTTCCTTGGCCCAACATAGCTGCAGTTGCTCCACAAGACTTTGCTGCTCTACCTTACAAGGACATAGTGTTTTTGTAATGGCACACTCCTCCTCTACACTCATATTCCTGGTTCTTTTAGCTCCATTGAGCACAACTGCCTAATTCAGGCAGATTCAGGTTTTTTAACATTTGCACAATCAGAATTGATTGCATTAAATGAAATCTTTGAAGGCAACAGAAAGAAGGCAACTTCACTTGTTGGGGTTTGTGTGACTGTCTTCCCCTTGGATATCGTAAGGAATGAATATGGGAATTGGATTTTTCAGGATTATCTGCAGAAGCCTGCGGAGGGACAGTCCCATGGTACCAAAGTCTGGAAAGGGACCTAGGACATGAGCTGTCTCTGAAGGTACAGTGTTGCAGAAGCTCACATAGCAGATTGAGCAGAGTGCCTGTCTCCTGTCAGTCAGGATGAGGCTCCTGAAGACAGCTGTGGGGCAGACAGGAAGGTTGGGTACCACAGAGTCTCCGTGATGTTGACAAGTCTCTTCAGGTACCTGGAGGATTAGAGATCAATCACCTCCATTGCTGCCTTTGATTTCCATGGGGCTGCAGACTCTTAGAGTTGGAAGATGGCGAACTCCTTTCAGTAACCCTCACTGCCTTCACCATCCAGATACAGATCTTCATAATATCGGAGCCTTTGTGATCCATCCCCTTTTCTACCTCCCCAGCCACCTCCATGTTTCTCTTATTTTCCAGCTGTAATATGTTTCTCAAAATAAGGCCAATTGTTTCACGTCACTCAGCATTTGTGTATTTGTGTTGCCTACCCCTTCTGCCTCAAATAGGGTATCTGGCAATTTAATTGGAGTGAAAGTTTGATACCCAGGACATTTGGACAGTCCCATCGTTTTTCTTGATCTAAATTAACCAATAAACTTCTGTTTTTATGTATTACTCAGTAGTGTATTGCAACAGACACACATCCCCAGTGACACGTATCTGAGTTTCACCAAACACTGAAACTTACCCCATCCTCACACATAATCCACCTCTCTGAGGCTTATTACTTCTCTTAAATTCTAATATCATTCATGGCCCAACCCCATTCCTGTCCTTACTCCTGACTCTCCCCCAAATCCCGGCCTCAGTCTGTTCCTGAGTGAGTGAATAAGTTAAGGTGGAAGTGAGTGAATTAATGGCCAAGCCTACAATTCCACGTGGAGTGTGACCATTTCCAGAGGGGCTGCTTAGCTGGGTTCATAGTGTAGATTTTGGCAACGAGTTTTTGAAGGACAAAGGGATGGACTTAGCGTTAAATAAAATAATTTCTAGATTTCAAAGAACGTTTTTGTCTAAACATGACAAAGTTCAAGAAGAATCAGGGCAGTAATGTATTTCTTAAACAAAGTTGTCTTGTAGACAAATCCAGGATGATAAATGCCCCTCAGAGGTTAACTTAATTAGTCTTCCAGCCTGGCCCTGACATCCTTTCCTGCCCAGGATTGCCCTTGATTTAGGAGGACTTGGTTTTCCCATTTGGTGTTTGGCACACCAAATACGTGTTTCAATTGCTAAACTGAAACTGAACTCCATTAATCTAAGCCATTTTGAAGTCGGTAATTGTTTTGAAAATCCAAGGGAAGCCATTTATTTTCCCCAGAAAAAAATGCACATAAATACATATATGGACAGTTTTGTACATTGTTTCATAGACTTTATTTACCCAAAGACTCAATATTTAGAAGCCATGAGTTAGAGATATTAATTACTCTAAATAACTGGCCCATAAAGGGAGTCTATTAATGGAACATTCTCCAGGCTGGTTCTTGTTGTTCTGAAAATTTCCATTCTGGTCTTGCTTTCCTTCACTGAATATGCTTATATCTCTTATCTCTGTGGTCGCCTAGAGAGCACCTCCTCTAGACAAACTATAGCAGAGACATCATGAGTTATTTAGACCACGCTTACCTGAGGCTTCCTCATTAGGTTAGCTCTTCAGAAGGGCATTAGATCTGCCTTCAGGAGACTGATGTTGCACAGGTGAGATAATTAAACCAGAACGTGGACAGATTCTTGCAGCTGCGGAGCACTCCAGATCTTGGTCGAATTGTCGGCGGCTCTCTGTCCCCGTACACAGATGTACACATACCACCATCACTATGTTCTGAGGTGCCCTTATTTGAGTAGAGATAATTTAGACTCCTTATGCTGCTAAAATAGATAAGGTAGTAACTATGCTCACGTTATAGCTCAGAAAACTGAAGTACTGATCATACAATGAATTTCCCAAAAATGCACCGCAATTTGTGATGACTAAAATTAAGACTCAGCTTCCTGGCATCTCAGAATAATCACCTTTTTCATCAGTATTGCTGGCTGTGATTTGGCCCTATGGCCCAGCCAACTCGGTCCTAGATGACACCACAATTTCTCACCATTGGAACCTCTGAGGAGAGGGCGTTTCAGCAATGCCTCCCTCTCACTCTATCTAAGGGCAAGCTCCAAGCCTGGCTACTTTACCTCCACTGGGCAGCTGCTTAATCATAGATTCAATATTCATATTCCCTTAGTTTTCTTACACAGTTACAATTTTTTCCTTTTCTTTGGGCTTCAGGAGCATAGTTATACTCCTCAGTTGGTACCTTAGAGGGTACTTCATCATTGCTGCTCCCTGCAAGTCCATGTCTATTTTCATCCCTTCATCTCTTCTCCTAGGCAACTATTCTATTAGGTATGCATCTATTTATTTATTGTTTGTATGTGTTCTACAAAATGAGTACTGTTTTGTCCATGTGTTTTTGTTTTTTTCTTCTAAAGACTGGCACCTGAGCTAACAACTGTTGCCAATCTTCATCTTCCTTTTTTTTCTGCTTTTTTCCCCTAAATCCCCCCAGTATATAGTTGTATATATATATATATCTTTTAGTTGTGGGTCCTTCTGGTTGTGGCATGTGGGATGCCGCCTCAACATGACCTAATGAACGGTGCCACGTTGGTGTCCAGGATCCGAACCCGGGAAGTGGAGTGAACAAACTTAACCACTTGGCCACAGGGCCAGCCCCTGTGCATGTGTTTTTAATGTATGTGAGTAGTATTATTTTGTTTTTGTGCTAGGTTAAAGTAATTTAGCTGCAATGACAAATAACCCCCAAATTTTAGTGACTGAGCACAATCAAATTTCTTGTTCACACAACAGTATAATAATGGAGGTGTCGCTGGTTGCGTGTTTCATCCTCAAGCAAAGACTCAGGAATCCAGGCTCCTCCCATCTTGTGACTCTACCAGCCAATGCATGGCTCCCAATGTCACCTGGAGAGTTGCTCCATTTGAGACATCTGGAAAGAGAAAAGAGCATGGAAGATCCTTAAAGGTAAGTGTATCATTTGCAATTTACCTCTTTTTTCCCCCAGAGTTTTGGGCACACATGCTTCTAAAGGATTCCTTCTTAGCCACTAGTCCTTTATTCACCGTAGACACTGGGCCCAAGCTCTGCAGAATACAGAGATTGATTGTGAAGTGCAAGGCTTTCCCAGAAAATATCCAGTAGCTGAACAAACTTCACTCATGACTTGCTTTTATACATTAATTCATTCAACAAATATTGCTTTGAGCCCACCTCTTTGTCAAGTCCTGTATTAATCTCCTTTGAGGAGAAAAAGGTCTTAAATGGGAATTGTACATATAAGACGCAAAAAAAGAAAAAACATGATTTGAGAATTTTGTGGTTTAATAAAGGTATTACAAAAACGCTGCCTGAGCTCAGAAGTAATTTTGATGAAAGCGTCAGAGAGCGGTTCACACTTCTTGCATTTAATTGGGAGAGGAAGGTGGGAAGGACATTACAGAAGGAAAGAACAAAGTTTGCAAAGGCTCAAAGGCAAGAGAAAAAGCAGAGCAAGTCAATGGCTTGCATTTGGGGCAGCCAACAGATGTGCGGGGCCTTGATGTCAGGTTAGCAGTCTAGACTTTACCCCGACTGGAATCACATTCAGGCTCTAGAAGCAGAATGCTAGGGTTCAACTGCAGTTTTGCAATTCAGTTGAACTTTATAAACTTAGATTTCTTTATTTGTAAAATTCCCTTGATGGTAATTCTTGATTTTCACCTGGTAGTCTCAGACAAAATGGTATAAAAGCTCAGACAAATGACATGAACTTTTCTTGTAGAGTTTACAGCCAAAAATTGTTGCTATTGTTTGTACCACTCATTGGGAAATATGCTGGCCAGGTGAGTCTGTGTCTACTGTTGTTATGAAACCTTACATCTTTTATTGATTTTTACCACATTGTATTTTCATGCCTTTTTTCTCTTGATGTCTTATCTCTGTAACTCCCATAATAGGCAGCATGATACAAACATATAGTGTGCATCAATATACATTTTGATTTGTTAATTACCCTTTAAAATAATTGATAGTGGCCACATCAATAGACAAGCATAGTCTTTGGGACTTGGTGACCAGGGAAAAACAAAAACAAAACTGAAAACTCAGAGAATTAAGAAGATATTTTAATAATAGGAACTCAGTGGATGTGTCATAGGCCTGAGCCAGAGTAGACCAGACTGTAGTCTTCATAGACTGGTCAGGGCAAGTCAGGGGATCCCTGAAAGACCACAAGGTAGAAATGAAGAAGTACGGGGACAGAAAGTAGAGGTCTGGGAAGATGGGATACGGCAGAAAACAGATGTCCATGCAGTTTTTCAGATTAGAGGTCAGAAGGTACATTTTAAAGTCTTACTTCCTACAAGAATTGTTCAAGGGATTGGAGGCAAGCCCAGGGAAGGCTGGTGAGCGTAAGTCCTCATCCTGGAAAAGTGACTAACACGAGATGGACAGGCATGGACCTCAGGGAAACAAGGCTGGGTCTGGCTCTTGGAAAAGGCTCCATAATAGGAACATGGAAGGAGACCGTTGCTACGATGAGCATGGAATTTGAGCAATCCTAGTAGACCCACCAGTGGAAACAGGTGGCTATCAATTTAGAACGACTTTAGCTCCTCCCGACAAACAACAAAATGGGTCACAGGACTGGAGACAGGACCAAGCCTCTGGGGGTGCTCGGATTCCTTCTTTGTGGGGGTTGGAGGGAGCTGAGTCTCCAAGCAGTCTCTGGCAGCTACTCTGTGCTCTGTGGAAAAAAGATGAAGAGCTTGTGGGCATTTGAGGTCATCTAGGGGAACAAGTTTACACAGTCCTTGCGAGGCTTTGCATGAGGCTACGACACTGACAGATCCAAGCTCGTGTGAGCCACACAAGGCTTAAACCTTGACAACCAACCGCTCACTTTTGTCTTCATAGTTTTTGAGTGGCATTTAAATATTATTTTCCCAATGAGATAGTCTACACTCATTGTCTCAATTCCCTTGCATTCACTTGGTAACTCATCACATCTGGCTTCTATCCTAGCAATTAGGTTCAGACTTTACCCAGTAAGTAACCATCGGCTTACAAATTGTCAAATCCAAGAGACATTTTCCTGGACATTCTGCTTCAGTTGACATTATCATTTCCTTACCTTCCTTCTTCTTCTGTAAATTTTCCTTCCTCCACTTTTCTCCTTATATATCAAGAAGGCTCTCCTGACTATCTATGCGCTCTCTTGGGTGATCACCTCTGGCGTGGAGACGTAACTGCCATTTACCTACTGATAACTTTCAGCTTGGTCTCTTGGGCCCAGAGGTTTCTTAAGACCTTCAGACTTGTGTATCCAGTTTCCTGTTGGTCAATGCCACTGGTATGCCACATGGATGCCTGTAATGTAATAATTACAACCAAACTCAGCATTCTCCTCTCTGAAGCTAACCATTTTTCTACAACAGTTTTACCTCATTTGGCAATCTTGCAACCACATAGTGATCTATGCTATAAGCATGTTGACAAGGCACCCCTAATTTCCTATGTTTTTCACTTCTCCAGTTCTTCAACATATAATGTCAAGCCCTATTGAATTTAACTCCTAAATATTTTGCGACTCTGTTTCCTCTTATCCATCCCTTTTAATATTTCCCAGATTGAATGTCAATTCCTCCCTCTTGATCCCCTTTCATGGAGCTCTGCTCATCGCTTATTTGCAAGAGAAGAGATTGACTAAAAAAGGAATTTCCAGAATGATACAAATGTCCTCTATTACATGATAAAGTTATAATTAGAACAGTGCAGCAAGGACAAATGGAATAGATTGAGAAACCCAGAATCAGACCTAAATGGGATCCTGGTACCCGACAGGGGTGGATTTATAAATAAATAGTATAGGGACATGGCATTCTCTATTTTACACTATACTCACAAACAATTCCAGATAGATTAAAAATCCCAAATGCATAAAATAAACTGTAACATTCAGATTAAAATAGAAAAGGATATGAGTGGATTAGGGAAGGACGACTTTGTTTTTGGGAGGAAGATTGGCCCTGAGCTAACATCTGTTGCCAAACTTCCTCTTTTTTGCTTGAGGAAGATTGTCAGTGAGCTAACATCTGTGCCAATCTTCCTCCACTTTGTGTGGGCTGCCTCCACAGTGTGGCTTCACGAGTGATGTTAGGTCCCTCCTGAGAAGCAGGGGGCACGATCTTAATCATTACACCAGGGGGTGGCACCTGGGGAAGGATTTCTCAAACCCTAAAGGGAGCAAATGATTAATTTGCATCAGCATTAAAATCTTTTGTACAACAAATAAATTTAAAAGCTAAACAGATTTATGGGCTGGCCTGGTAGCACAGTGATTAAGTGCGCACATCCCCCTTCGGCAGCCCGGGGTTGCTGGTTCGGATCCCAGGTGTGGACATCACACCACTTGGCACACCATGCTGTGGGAGGCGTCCCACATATAAAGTAGAGGAAGATGGGCATGGAAGCTAGCTCAGGGCCAGTCTTCCTCAGCAAAAAGAGGAAGATTGGCAGTAGTTAGCTCAAGGCTAATCTTCCTCAAAAAAAAAAAAAAAAAAACTAAACAAATTTAAAAGTCTTACAATGGACCAGGAGACTATATCTGCAATTTATATACAATTAAATAAGAAGAATCCAGAATATATTTAAAAAAAATCCAACCAATTAAGAAGAAGAAGACAATCAATAGAAAATGAGCAAAGAAAATGAAGAAGCGTATCACAGAAGAGGAAGTATGAGTAATTAATCATGAGATGCTCAACCTTGCTGATTACGGGTGAAGGATAAATTAAAATAAAAATGGATGCCATTTCTCATAATCAGATTGTCAAAAATGAGATAGTGGGACAATACCAAGTGTTGATAAAGATAAGCACTAATCGAAAAGTAGAAGTGGAAAGGTAGACGTATGAGTCAGTAAAACTAGATTAGAAAGCAATGTAGCAAGAGCTCATAAAATGGTGAATGCATACACAATGACTCAGAAGTCTGCTGCTGGAATCTGCCCTAGAGATACTTCCAGACACTGCACACAGAAAGACAAGTATAAGAATGTTTATTGCAGCCTTATCTGGAGCAGCAAGAAACTGGAAACAATCTAAATGTTTATCAATTGGATAATACATGGAAAAATATATATAGAAGATATATACACATATATATCATAATTATTCTATAATAACATAATGGAAAATTTAAAAAGCCAGCTATAGAATGATTAAAAGAAGTGATTAGAAAATTATCTCTTTTTTTCTCAGTTTTTTAAAGAAATAATTGACATATATCACTGGAAGTTTAAGGCATACGGCGTGATGGTTTGATTTACACATATTGTGAAATGATTCCCACAATAGGTTCAGCTAACCTCCATCTTCTCATATAGATGCAACAGAAAGAAAAGAAAGCAGAAAAGAAGAAAGGAAAAAAAATTTCTCCTTGTGATCAGAACTTGTAGGAAGTAAATTAACATCATTTGGAGGCCTGCTGTGTGTCAGATGTCATTCTAATCTTTTCAAAGGTATTAACTCATTTAATCAGCATAATAAATCGGCAACATGCTTTGTAGATAAGGGCATAGGCCAGAAGGAGATGAATCTCCCCAAGGTTATGCACTTGGTGAGTTACAGAGACCTACGACTTCACCCCGGGCAGGCTGAGTGGAGTCCAAGCTTTAGCCATTACTCTATGCTGCCTTCTCGGAGTTCACATTGTGTGAAGCCTGTTAGACAATTAAAGATACACACATAAAGCATTATTATATATTGCTCACAGTTAAAATAGTTGTTTCTAGATGTATGGAACATGGAAATATATATACCAAATTTTTGATTGTGGTTGATTATGAATCTAAGTGATATGTAGCATCACAGAATAAGTGTTGCTTTGAATATATTTGTTGTTTTGTTCTATAAAAAAAGAATTTGAACCCATGTAACAGAACAATTATCAGTTGTACATGGTGCTTAATTTTTCAGTATATTCGTTGCAGTTTTCAAATTTCTTAAGGGAAAAAATTATAATTAGTTTTGTTTGGTTCAGTAGGTTGCAGAAGAAATGTAAAATGTATAGGGTATGGTCTTGATTTTGTAGAAAACACAGATGAGGTACAAAGAACACACAGTGATATGTTAGTGGTGGTTATTTTTAGGTTGTGGGATTACAGGAAGGTATTTTTTTCCCTTTATGATTTGAATAATAATAATCACAAAATTAACTAAAATTAGAAAAAATAGAGATTAAGTTATGTTCCCAGAAAATACACAGCTAGTAAATCCAGGGACTGTGACTTCAAAGTGTATAATCTTAAACGCTGCCTTTTACCATCTCCTTAAGGAAAGCCTTCTGAATCTTTTCTATCTTCTTCCTTCCCACCACCTTTTTCCTCGTTCAGACTTTAATAATGTCTCTTCTGAAGAGTCACAATAGCCATGTAAGTAGCTGCCCCATTTCTGTCTCGTTCTTTCGAATCCACCCTGAACACTGGTGCTGAGAGGTCTTTCTGAAGAGCCAGTCTCTTCATGTCACTCCACTTCCAATAATCAAGATAAAGTTCAAGCTCATCAGAAAGCACATGAGCACCTTCCTGGTCTTACTTTTACTTTAATCCCTTGCCTCCTATCTCTTTCATCATCTGCACCGTAGCTCCTTTCTCCAGCCAGAGCAATTTTCCTGGAGCACAAAGGATATGAGCAAGCTGCTGCCTTCCCCATAATATGCTTGTCTGGTTCCCTGGTCCCCACCCCCTGCGCTTTCAGCCTGGCTAACTCCTGTTCATCTTTTATAGATTAGCTCTCTCATTGAAAGCATTTATTGGGCTATGTATCCTTAGCTAAGATAGTGGCAAATCTTCTGCTCTGCCATGGCCTGTATCCACACCCCTATATTTATCCCTCTGGGATTAATCACTGATTTTCCTGTCTGTCTCTTTGACTGGACTCCAGGCAGCTTTAAGGCAGGAATCCTGTCCTAGTACTTGACTGCCTGATGCTGATGCAATGCTTAGCATTTTTTTGAATGAATGAATATATTTTGGCAGCTTGCTATTGCCCAGATTGGATTTAGAAGAGGACCACCCCTGAACCCTTGGTCCAGGAACACTGGGTGGACTTGCCGGGGAGATCTACCTGTATCGAAGAGGCCACCTTTGCATGATGCAGCCTCTGACTTCTTTTGCTTCAGGTCCTTGTAGCTTCTGCAGTACACGAGAGGAGCGACCTACATTCAGAATCACTTTGTAAGTCAAGAATTAAGCTCAAACGTGTAATAGGAGGAGAACTTGTTTCAGTATGCGGAAACATCAGTTTTTGGAAATCCAACATAACAAAAATGAAGCATTGAAGAGACAAGAACTGCTGACCACAACAGCTCAGAAGGTAGGACAGTTGAGACAAAGTTTCTTGGAGGAAAAGGGCATTCAGTGACTCTGGAATTTTCTACCTTCTCCACAGAGCTTCTTATCTGAAAATGGTGCTTTTGAATCTTCTTGATGATCACCAAGATATTCCTTAGTGACCATGAATCTTCCAACCACCACCGTGGACATCAAGCCCCAGAGTGAGAGGCAAAGGGCTCCAGCAAATAAACAGTAGCTGAACACACTTTAGATTGTAGTCTCAAGTTCGTTCTTGTATTCGTTCAGGTTTTCCTCCTTTAAGAAACATTTTTTTAAACCCCTGCTCTTTGCCGAATCTCAGGCTAGGCTTGGGGGGTTTAGATATAATCAAGTGTCAATCTATGCCACAGAGTTGGTTTCTCTCAATATTTTTCTTTTTTAGTGTGGCAAAAAAACACATAACATAAAATTCAGCCTCCCGGCAACTTCCAAGAGTACAGTACAATATCGTCAGCCAGATCCCCAGGACCCGCCTGCCCCACCACCATCCTGTGTGACTAAAACTCTGCATCTGCCAAACGGCAGCTCCCCATCTGCCCTCACCCCCAGCCCCAGCCCCACCATTCGACCTTCTGTTTCTATGAGTTTGAGTGTCTGAGATACCTCGTATAGGTGGAATCACGCAGCATTTGTCCTTCTGTGACTGGCTTATTTCACTTAGTATAATGTCCTCCAGGGTCATCCATCTTGTAGCGTATGACAGGATTTCCTCCTTTTTTAAGGCTGAATAATATCCCATTGTATGTGTAGACCACATCTTCTTTTTCTATTCATTTGTCAGTGGACATTTAGTTTCTTGCACTTCTTTCCTATGGTGAATAATGAATGCTACTGTGAACACAAGTGTGCAAATATCTCTTTGAGATCCTGTTTTCAACTCTTTTGGCTCTATACCCAAAAATGAGATTGCTGGATCATATAGTAATTCTATTTTTAATTTTTTGAGGAACCTTCACACTGTTTTCCATAGTGGGTGCACCATTTTATATTCCTGCCAACAATGCACCAGGGTTCCGATTTCTTCGGAACCTCAACAATAGCCATCCTGATGAATAGGAGCTGATATCTCATTGTGGTTTTGATTTACATTTCCCTGGTGATTAGTGATGTTGAGCATATTTTCATATGCTTGATGGCTAGTTGGATATCTTCTTTGGAGAAATAGCCTTCATATGAAAAGTATTTCAGTATTTTATTTTATTTTTTTTTTAAAGATTGGCACCTGAGCTAACATATGTTGCCAATCCTTTTTTTTCTTCTTCTTCCTCTCCTTCTCCTCCTCCTCCTCCTCCTCCTCCTCCTCCTTCTCCTCCTCCCCGTGGCACCCCCAGTACATAGTTGTATATTCTAGTTGTAGGTCCCTTTGGTTGTGCTGTATGGGACTCTGCCACAATGTGGCCTGCTGAGCAGTGCCATGTCAATGCTCAGGATCTGAACCGGTGGAACCCTGGGCCACCAAAGCAGAGCGCGCCAACTTAACCACTCGGCCACGGGACTGGCCCCTTCAGTGTTTTATACACTCAAGTAATTTTTACCACAACTCTGTGAGATAAGTGCTGTTATTATTCATGTTTTTTGATAAAAAGAAGCTGAGGCACAGAGAAGTTAAGTAAGGTCTTCTTTTAACTTTACAGTAACCCTCTGGCAACAGTTACCCAGGGCAGGTATTGTTACTACAATTAGTAGTAATTAAAGAAACCAAGCTAAAGAGTCCTTAACTGACTTGCCTAAGGCCATGAAACATGAATCCTCCTTCCATGATATTGTGATCAATAATGGACAGAATCTAAAACTTTCTTGTACTTTCACCCCTCCATATAGTTTATAGATTCTTCTTTGAAGACCTTTTAAGGCACAGATGTCTCTGCAGAAAGTATGGGGATCACTGAGCATTAACCAAGTAAGGATCACACTACTGATCTCTTGATTATGGAAAGAGATACAAATGCATATTCTTCATGAAGCAAAAGAGAATTTAAATCTCTGGCCTAGGCTAAGTCTTTGTGTCAGCTTTAAGATCACTGGGCAGTGGCATCCTTGCCTGTGGACACTCTTGCTGTGACCATCTCCCCTATAGGAAGAGACCCAAGAGCACATTTATATCTACTTCAACTCCTGGTTCCAACTTTGCCTATCACCCATCTCTTTTTCCTTTGAACTCCATCACATTATCTTTATACAGGTCTCCATGGTGACCATTAATTCTTTAGTCAAGATGGACCCATGGGCCATGAACTGCATAGGTGGCTCTTGAGGTGCAAGGCTTTCTCAGTGAGCATCAAGAAACTGGACTCCCTTTTTAATTTCTTTCATTCAGGCATCCATGCATGTGTGTAAAAATATTTACACTAATCTCCATGTTATTATTTACTCTTTAGTGACAAGAATTTGCCTGAGATTTCCCAATCTGCTATGTTCTTTCTCCTTTTCAAGCTTATATTCATGTTGCCACCTCTGTCTGCCATTTTCCCTTTGTTTTCTGGCTAGCTCTTATATATCCTTGCTTCTTTTTTTTAATGATGAGGAAGATTGCCCCTGAGCTAACATTCGTTGCTAATCTTCCTCCTTTTGCTTGAGGAAGATCATCCCTGAGCTAACATCTGCACTAATTTTCCTCCATTTTGTGTGTGGGATGCCACTACAGCGTGGTTTGATGAGTGGTGTGGGTCTGTGCCCAGGATCTGAACCCATGAACCCCAGGCCACTGAAGCAGAGCACACAAACTTAACCATGATGCCACTGGGCTGGCCCCTACCTTTACATTTTGAGCTCTAAAATCACCTCATTCAGAAAATCTCTATACTCATCTTCTTCCTCTAAGATAGTTGTTTCTCTTCCATGGTCCAATAATACTCTACACGTATATGTGTTATCACAGTAGCTGTGAGCTGTCCTGGTACAGGCTAAGTATTAATAAATATGTGTTTAATTGAGTTAGTATTGCTTATTCTCCTCAATTTCTCTTGGGGATATTGGTAGCCTGTGTGTGGATAAAACTGGGTTCAAATGTCAACATGTGGTGATGAGCCTCTTCCATTCTAGGTGTGCCATGTCCACCCCAATGACCTGGACCTTTCTCAGAGCCTCTTGCTCCTCTACCAGGCCTTGGTCCTCATGGGGCCTTTTATGGGGCCTTATTAACTTTGGCTGCAGCAAGGTCAGTGCTCATTCCTGGTCACCTACTTCTGGGATCCACAGTTGTGGTTGAGAGCTGTACCATGGTTTGGTTGATAATCCAGCTATTTCTTCCACTTTTCCTGAGCTTCCTTTTCCTGAAGAGGCCTGGTCCTTGATCTCTGTTCCTTGAGAGTTAATGGGAAACACTTCCTGCTTATGCCAGAAAGGGACCTATACTAGTCTGCTTGGGCTGCTATAACTAAATACCACAGACTGCTTGACTTAAACAAAAGAAATTCATTTTCTCATCGTTCTGGAGGCCAGAAAGTCCTAGATGAAAGTTTCATCAGGATTTTTTTCTGGGGAGGATTCTCTCTCTGGCTTAGAGATGGCTGTTTTATCCTCATGTGATCTTTCCTCTAATCTTGTGTGGAGAGAGAGAGAGAGAACAAGCTCTCTGCTATCTCTTCTTATAAGGACACTAATTCTATTGGGTCAGGACCCCACCCTTATGACTTCATTTAACCATAGTTACTTCCTTAGAGGCCCCATCTTAAAATACAGCCATATTGATGGTTACAGCTTCAACATATGATTTTTTTGGGGGGACACAAATTTTCGGTCCATGACATGACCAATTTTCAAAACTCTGTGGAATGGTAGTCATAGACCTGAACTGCCATGAGTGCTGACATGTGAATGCTGCCAAAGGTGAGGACTGGAGACAGAGCTGGAGGAAGACCAGGCCCGGAGCACGGAATGTGGTGAGCCACGAACTTACAACTCTTAATGGGAGTTGGATCGGAGGGAGAAAGGTATAATTTGGATTCACAACATACGTAAAGTTATATTTCTGTTCCAACTTTTAGTTAACTATTACTGAGCTGGCTTATGTACCGCTTTTTAGGTGTGGAAATTGAAAGGTGCATCTCTTTAGTGACTGGTGTGAGAACTTCCTCACATTTACTCTGTACTATACCTACAGTACCAGTCAAGCAGATCAGTCCAAGTTCTTCAATATGTGACTAGACCTGAATTAAGTACAAAATCAGTAGTTTTGCTGCTGAGAAAGCAGACCTGAGCAATGGATTGAAAAGAAAGTGCTAACTAGGATGTCCTGCAATCTAACTTAGAAAAAATGATTCCAGGAAAAAATGTAGAGCACATAAAATCAAGAAAGAACATCACTCTGTTTCTCTTATGGTTGGGAAAGTGCAGCAGTATGTCTGATCCTTTTGTAACTTAAGCAATTATTTTGTCTTTGATTTATTTAGCATGAAGTTGTTCATGCTAACCAGCTCAGTAGACGTTATCTTAATGATTGGAATCCATGCTTCAGTTTCTTATACAAACTCATGTTCTTTGACTTTTACTGTTCATATGTTTTCAGTTTTATTATTAGTATGGACAATTATAATAAAGATGCTTTCTTGCTTCCTTTCTTTCTTTCTTTCTTCCTTCCTTCCTTCCTTCTCTTTCTTTCTTTCTTCCTTCCTTTCTATCTTTCTCTCTCTCTCTCTCTCTCTGTCTTCCTTTCACCAACACCTATTTGTCAATTTTGGAATTTGTTTTAAGAAAACCTTTTGAGGAAATGGACACCTAATATCATTTGAAGTCTAAGTTCTTGCTGCCTCTTGATACTTATTTAGATATTTCAGTGTTATAATTGAAGACAAATATGTAATTTCTATGTTTCTGATTATTAAAGTTTGAGAGTAAGGGTACACATTGCTTAGTCTTCATTTACACACAAATTTAAAATAGTAGCATTTTCTTCCTCCCATTTTCTTTCCTCCTTTTTCAAATCCCTAATCAATATAATTAATGCCTTGACAATTACTTCCAGCCTTGTAAAGTTACTATTCTGTTGCCAGATGTACCAGAAAACCCTCCAGATGGGAAGGTGGTAAAGAATTGAAGAGTAAAGGCCCTTGAGGCTAAACGCCTTATTCTCTTGGTCTTGACAAATGAGTTGAGTGATCTTGAGCCACACTTCTTAAACATTAATGTGCATATCAAATATCTGGATGTCTTATTAAAGTTCAGATTCTGATTCCATAGGCCTGGGATGAGGCCTGGAGTTCTGCA